AAACAGATAAAGTTCAACAAAAAGTTGTCACTGTTGCAAGCCGGAGTCCGTTCCTTTGACCAGCCGCTGGGAAACCATCTCAACAGTATCATTAAGTTGTACACCAGATGACGCTGAAAATGAAAACGAGTGGTCAGTGAGTTGCATATTCAGGCAAAGAGGTTGGCTTCGTTGCGAGGTAACCAGCCGTTGCAGTATTCCTACAAGACGAAATTGCACGACTTCTTGTACCCACTGGTCATAGTTGCCGTAGTGGACATTTAAATCAGCCGTGGGTATCCGTGGTATTTGATGATCTGCAGTGTCACGCACATCCGTCATCATTTTGTTCGCCACAGCCAATTTGCGTTCATTGTGAACGGTGCTTCAGAACCAGGAACACCCCGTATACTACTGCATAAACATAATATTTTTGCACGCCGGAGTACATGAAATAACGCATACCTTATCCAATAAACAAACGAAGACGTGGACGGCACTGGTGATCTAAGGGAAGTCGCCAGATAGATTGTGCATAATTTTATTTGCTAAAGGAATCAGATCACGATCAATGTCAGAGGGGCAGTTCTTCTTTATCTGCTCCAAAAGAATATCACAGATATGAATTCATGCTTGAGAATTTTAAAAATAGTGATCTACAAAAATCTATATTTTGGATGTTCATGAGGTAGCATAGAAGGAGAACCGGTCACTGAAACACCGCTGCTGGTAATAAACAAAACATCGCAAAAGTCAACGACATGATGCGAAAAAATTTAGAAACATAAGTGCTCAAATATCACGGAGTTTATTCCGGTAGATGCCTTCCTCGGAACAAATAAAAAGCCACTATCAGCAAAAGCAAGGTGCAGTACATAATGAAATCAGATTTTAAAAAAATATGCGGCTGATATGATAATTAATGATGCTGTTCAGAATCGAAAATGATAATAATAAGTGAAACTAGTAACTACTGATAATAGTTAATAATAATTGGTGATGATAATTAGTGATTCCATTTATCATACGAAGATCGTAGCATCATCGATAACTAGCGACGACCAGCGTGTAAACTATGTATCATAGGTTAGGACAGACAGGCATGACGACAGACTCT